TAAATAAAAAAGATAATAACAATACTAATAATAATAAAACAATAACAATAACAAAAAACAATAATACCAACAACAACAACAACAACAACAACAACAACAACAACAATAATAATAATAATAATAATAATAATAATAATAATAATAATAATAATAACAACAATAACAATATCAACAATAATAATAACAATAATAATAATGACAATAACAACAACAACAGCAACATTAATAATAATAATAATAATAATAATAATAATAATAATAATAATAATAATAATAATAATAATAATAATAACAATAACAATAACAATAACAATAACAATAATAATAATAATAATAATAATAAAAACAATAATATTAATAATAATAATAATAATAATAATAATAATAATAATAATAACAATAATAATAATAAGAAGAAGAACAACAACAACAACAATAATAATAATAGTAAGAACAACAATAAAAATAACAATAATAATAATGACACTAATAATAAAGACAATAAAAATAGTAATAGTAATAATCATAATAATCATAATCATAATAATAATAATAATAATAATAATAATAATAATAATAATAATAATAATAATAATAATAATAATAACAATAATAATAATAATAATAATATTAATATTAGAGAAAAAAAAATTATAGAAACAACAACAATAATAATAATGATAACAATAATAATAATATCAATAATATTAATAATAATAATAATAATAATAATAATAATTATGATAATAATAATAATAACAACAGCAACAACATTACTGATAGTAAAACAAGACTAAAAAATTGTTTGTAACAAGAAACTGGCAAAGAAAATTGATTAAAATATAAAACAAATAAAAAATTACCTATTGTCATATCTTTTAGAAAGGGAGAAGAAACTATAGTAAACTGTCATCACAAAGGTGTGTCCCTGAGCTAGTTAAAAATAGCAACTCAATTCCTATCGAAGCTTTCTGTACCTGACTCAGACGCTGCAAGACGATGCAGGAGAGGCAGCCAGGCCAGACATTCGGGCCCAGGATCTTCGAGAACCACCTCTAAGAAGTCATTAACATTGATGCGTTTCACCTGTCAATGAAGTGCAATAGATGAAGCTTCAGTCATATGTCAAAAAGAATTAGGGATATCAAATCACATCAGATGATGCTGTTTGTAAATATGAGCTTTCAAAAATCTGAAATTACCAATAACCGCATATTCCTCAAGTTCTTACCCCATCAAAAATGTGTGTTGCTAAATTGTCAGAGTAGGCAAAGCTTGGAGATTCAAATACAGCTGCAGGTAGAGCAAGGACCTCCTGCAAATACTCTGAAAAGCGAGTAAGTGCAAGATGTCCGTTGCTGTCCGATATCTGAGAGAACACATCTGAAAAAAGTCAAGTTTCAATTAAGGGCTAAAATCTGTTTCACTACTGTTGGGTATGCTACTCCTTTTTAGATGTAAATTACAGTGTCATTTTCAAGGTGTTTTCTTTGATAAATAAGAAAACTGCTCATAAAGGGAGCTTCAGTAACTGAAACTATGATAACTGAAACACTGCTGTTTATTTAGGATAGGAGATGAGGAACAATAATTATATCTATTATATCTTCCAAAAAGTAAATTATTAATTATAAATCACTGATACATACAACTTTTCATGAGAGTCCTTAACCTGCACAAAAATAATTTTGTGCAGGATATATTTCCTTCAAAATTAATACTGTCTGTACCATATTGAGGAAAGGTCTCATTATGCTTTCAAAGAAAAACGCTCAAAAGAAACACTGAAAAACAATTAAGCTAACATGAAAAACTTATCAATAACAGAATAATGCAACAACTAAAATATTCATTCTCCATATAAACACAGTATAGCACAGGACACACAAAGGAGTACTTACACCTGAGCTTGTCGAGGGGTTTGCTATTACACAGTGTTGCCAATGCTACCTTTACGCTAAAAACTCTTAGCTTTCCCTCATTTTCCCTGAAAATGGAATAATTTTTCACTCATGTATGTCTGGTATATCACAAATGGGTAATAGATAGGTAATACAGTGAACAAAAGAATAGCACTGAAAACAATCTGGACAATATGTGCTTACAAAGACTACACTATCAAGCCATATCCAAAGAGAAGATGTACAATTGTTACTAAAGAATAAGGGTGAAAAAGATTACAAAAGTGCTTTTTGTCTTTCTCTCTGTTTCCCAATCCCTCCCTCCCTCCAACCCTCTCTCTCTCTCTCTCTCTCTCTCTCTCTCTCTCTCTCTCTCTCTCTCTCTCTCTCTCTCTCTCTCTCTCTCTCTCTCTCCCTCTCTCTCTCCCTCTCCCTCTCCCTCTCCCTCTCCCTCTCCCTCTCCCTCTCCCTCTCCCTCTCCTTCTCCTTCTCCTTCTCCCTCTCCCTCTCCCTCTCCCTCTCCCTCTCCCTCTCCCTCTCCCTCTCCCTCTCCCTCTCCCTCTCCCTCTCTCTCTCTCTCTCTCTCTCCATTTCTATCT